AAACCCCCCCAGCCTATGTCAGACTGGAGCTGGGATCTTCTGGCTTGCAGGTTCTTAAATGTTGCTGACTACTGTTTTAAATAGCTTTGAAAGTAGAACATCTAGATACCCTTTTCACTCCAGGGGAAGATGGCAGCCTAGGCCTGACAGTGCGAAGCAAATACCACTCTATGATTGGATCCTCATGACATTATGTTTAATTTTCTCAGGTGTGTGTTATTCCCATGTTGACTACTATAGTCCTGTAACTGCTTTGTTGCAAGTGGGGCTGACTGCTTGAGGAGAGTGAGGCTTTAAGAAAACTGGGGGGAGGGGGGAGGGGGAAGGATAGTGCAAGAGAGGACAGAGCTGGAGAGAAAGGAGTAGTCCCAGGGAGATTAGAGTAGAGTAGAGTCTGAAGAACAATGGTGCCAAGCCAAGAAACTCCAAGTTTTCCAAGTTTCTTACTGACATGTTTTATAGAATGTAAACGTATATCTCATGCTGGGAGCTGCCCTGCTACCAGGCTCCAGTTAGGAGAGCTGGGTTCAAATTTGTGAGTTTAACATTAACCGTAGTAAAAAAGAAAATAAGTTTGGCTGTCAGTAAAAAATTTGCAGTAAAAAACATTTTCTTTGGTTGGAAACCCTGCTTGACTGCAGCCATCATTTTGCACTGTGCTGCCCTGCACCACCCTTCCACTAAGGGGCTCCTGCCCACCCCCACACCTGATGCCCCCAATGCACCTTGAACCATGCTGCCTCCCCTCAGCCTTACCCTGCTGGCCCCACTTCCCTGCCCTGGCACAGACCCCCAAAGAAGCCCACCTGCAACTCAGCAGTACTACAAGCAGCCTGGGATGCAGCAGCAGTAGCAGCATATGGCTGAGAGAATGCTCCCTGTAGAGTGCTGTGTGTCTGCATGGACACCAGATGGTGCTGCTGTGATCCTTCTGTCAGAACGTCAATCAAGCTGTGGCTGCTTATTGTTTCTACTGACAGATACAGGTTTTTTTTAAATGACTTTAATGACAGCCATTTTTAGCTTGGTTTTTTCCTGAGAGTTGGCAGCCCTGCTTAGGAAGAACAGAGGAACTGCAGCGGCACAATAAAGACTGTTTGTTTTGAACTGAACTGTTTGCTGTGCTATTTGGGACACTTGCACTCTGCTCCAGAAAAGAAAAGTGGCTGGTTTTAGTCAAAAAAAAAAAAACACCCCCCCCCCCCCCCCCCCCCCCCCGAGCTGACCGTACAAGAGATCCCTGAGGCAGGGGTGCTACGTATCACTGGGGAAACCAAGGACAAAGAGAAGCCACAGTCTCATGACAGAGGCTTTCCCCTTGAGAAGTAGTGCCAGGGCTGGCTTCAGGGGGTCCTATGGAAGAGGGAGACCAAATAAGGCTTCTTCTTGGGGACTCCCATGGCAGAGCTTCCCACTTAAAGTGGGGTGCTCCATGACAGAAGGGAAAGGAGGAAATATGTGGAGAGGGAATTGAGGGGAGCCTGAAAGGAGGTGTGTGTGAAAGAAGACTGGGTGGAGAAAGGGGAGAGATACAACAATGATAACAGAGAGAAATGGGGAGTGAAACAATGACAACTTCCCTCAACCGAGGGTGGCTAGGTGCGGGTAAGGGGCATCCCCTCTCAACAGTCAGTAAAGAAAGCTGATACTGTAAATATTCAAGTACATCCCCTGAAGCTCATAAACAAGAAGGCATTATTATCGTATTTAATTGCATAACACACAAATTTCTCCCCTCTCCAATGTGGGTGTCTCTCAAGTGTGGAAGCTGATTTTTCTTTGCTGCAAAAAAGAAGTATGCAGAAATTGGCCTAATGTTGCCAAGGTGGCTACTGCTTGTTTCTGGCCACAAGAAGCAGTAGGGGTGAGGTTCCACATTAACCCTCTCACAGCCATAGCTATTGTCTGAGTACTGTAGCTTGTGCTGAACACCACAATTTCTGGTTCCAAGAGGACTTGCTTTATTTATATCACACACGTTTTTTTTCTACATTCTGCCTTCCAACAAACAAGGCACAGGTCTCACGTGAGGGTATGTGGGACGCATGAAAAGATGAGTATTACTTTTAAAAGTATCATATATAGGGACAAAGTCATGATTTCTGAGGTCTCCTTCCTGAAGACTCAATGTCTGAGGTAGACAATACTGAAAGAGGTAGTACTGAGATGTTTCTGAATCAAACTTAGATCCAGAGATACCAGCGTTAATCCAGAATCACTGCAAGTAACAGGAGGTGGGGAGCACAGAAAAAAAGATTTCACTAGCTGTTACTAGAGAGCCCCGGTTATTGCAAATCAAGATTAAGTTGCTCTCACTGTTTTAAATATTGGTGACAAACCTGTCAGTAAAGCTCTCCCTTGATACAAGGTGCCCTGGCTCTGCTGAAATTAACTTACTGAGCTGGAAAACTCATGTAATTGAGAGAACTCAGGGGATGGCTATGAACATAACTCCACACAAAACAACCCTGGGAATCTCAGACCTCACAGTCCTTGGGGATCTGAACCCTTGTTAAATGCACCTGGGGAAAAGAACTACCCTAGACTAACATCAATTAATCACTGCTCTTACTTTGCTCATAGGTTGTTATACAGACTAACAACAAAGTCTGATAATGGGAAGTACTGGGCAACCTTATTAATAAGCAGTGCTACTGGTGCTCTATAATAAGGGTTGCAGAATAACAGGTCACTAAAAGGCCTTTTGATCACTAATTTGTAACTAACTCAGTGTTAAATCTGGAATACTATTTTATAAGCAATACAACTGCAAGGACATGTTTTGGTAGAAGATGCATTTAAAACCGAATAGTAATTGAAGGGAGTTCTGTACAACGGTTATCAGTGTTACAAAACAAGTAGAACTGAATGAGAAAACTAAAACTAATAAAGTCAAATATCAGTGAAACTACTAATATGCTAAAACAGCACATATATTTCTAATTATTTTATGGCAGCTTTTGGATACACCAATGAAAACTGCTACCCAAGTCACTTTCTTTATGAATGGTCATTTACACAAAATGAATTAACGGTGAGTGAACGATGACTAAAATATATGCACCTGTTGCTGCAGAACCACTGCCAAAACAACTGGCTACAATACAGAAAAGTTTAGAAGTAAGAATCTTGAAGTTATTTAAATTCATAATTCAAGAACATTTTCTTGGTCATTCGATATGTAATGAATCGGACCTTTCTATTGTTATTCACTAGGTTGAACCTTATTAGAAGTGTTTGGATGTGGATGCCTTAATTTAAGATGATTGTGAGAAATAACTGAGACCCTTCATGGAAACAGGTGCCCAAAGACCCTGGGCAGACATTAAAATCAGGCTGTGACTGGGATCTGAGGAATTTTATACCTCATTCCAAAAACTGGGGATCAGGCTGGGGTAGCTCTGGGTCCAGTTCAGGAAGTTTGTTGAGAAGACTGTTGGACTCTGCCCAGAAGAACAGCACCAGGATTTGAGAAACTCCCTGATCCCAGGGCCCCAGTGCCTCGGTATGCACACAGGCAGTCCAACTCCTTGGGACCCAGTATTGTGAAGTGCCTTGCCCTGCAACCCTCAAAGACACTGCCAGGTTCCTAGTGTGGGGAGTTCAATTTATGGTGCCATACAAACAAACCACAAAGACGTTGAACATTTATATTGTGATTTATAGTATGATTAAGGTTAAATCTCACCATAAATGTAATGTGCGCCAGGGCCTAAAATTAATGTTGGTCTTTAAACCCAAAACTCAGGCATCTCTCTCCATCCAAAAATAAGGGATATTTAAGTCCCTACTCAAGACTAAGATAAGCTACTCAGATAAGCTTTGGTTAGCTACTGTTTTGGGTAGCTTGTTTGTGTGTGTATGTGTAAGGCAGGGCAAGCTGAGAAGGGAGAAGACAAGAAAACTTGAAACAGCCACAGAAAGATGCAGGGGTAGTGTAACCCAGCAAAAAACAAAACAAAAACCAAAACCAGAAGAAAGAACTTGTAGGCTGGTGCTACTTCAAAGTTTTGGAACTACTATCAAGGCACTGTCTCCTATAGTTTGATTCCTCTTGTGTTCAAGAAAGCATGATGCTGCATATTCAAGTACATAAAGAGAACTGTACCAAAGATATGCAACTTGGATAACAAAATGCACCTCTTAACAGAAACAATTGGCAAGACTCTGAATTTTGGCTAGCCACTGAGGTCAAAAGTGAAAAGTTCACGATAATCCATTAATTACATTACTGTAGTAGCAAAGGGTCTCACTGAAGACCAGAGCCGTATTGTACTAAGTAGCATGAAAAAAGCTTATAATCAAGACAGAGAAGAAAAGGATCAGAGAAAGTATTGACTCCATTCCACATATGGGAACTGAGAGAATGGAAATATCTTATGCAAAGTCATATGGAAAGTCTGAGACAGAGCTAGACACTGGATGTGTATATTAACCCTAAGACCATGTTTCCTCTTTTTGTAAACACAAGAACCAATACCAGTTACCTTTACAGGGAAATCCTACTACAAAATTTAGAAGAGAGGAACTGTTTATAAACTCTTTTTAAACTATAGAATTCTATAGAATAAAAAACGACCAAAACACGAATAGTGCTGTTGTTATGAAAATCTAAAACTTTTTTACTCACCTCTTCCATTAGCTTTTCATTTGGTGATCCTGAACAAAGACAGACCAGATAGGTTTGCTTAAAACTGCCTTTGGTGCTGATTTCTGGGTGGTCAGAGCACAGTTTTGCCAAGGCAGTAGCTTGAGTTAGCTGTTTTGTTTTCATTAGGTGCTTAATACGCATATCCAGCAGGACGGGCCCTTCGGACTCTAAGAATTCATTCACTTAAATAAAAACAATCCAACATATAACATTAGAATATTTAATGAAGACTTATGAAATTAACAGAGAAGATTTAACCATATTCATACTTAACAGGTAACATTTAAACAGAATAAAAGGGCATAAAAGTTACACAGCACAGAAAAAATTCATACCTTGATTTCACACTGTTTAATTAACCTGTCACTGTAATTCACTCACAACAATTCAGTCAAGAAACCTCTCTCAAAGATGTTAAAGAATTTTTCAAAAAAGCTTTCTCCTCATGTTTGTAATTTTAGTTAGCTAAAAGCTGAACATATTTTAAACAGCAGTCATCTTCTAAATACTCTCTAATGACTTGTTCAACAGAATGGAAGAATTAGTCAAGTTTTCATAGTTAAGGCTGTGTCTATACTTCCTATTTTTCACTCACCTTTAATTTTTAATCAGTTACTTTCATTTGCAAAATGAAACAGCAATCATGCATAAAAGTGAAAATTTTAAGTGTAACATATTTATATGCCATGGACACACAAAAACGTATTGTTATCATTATCTTTTTAGCCCATGTTTTCTCGACAGTAAATTTTTCGAAGACCACATTTCAGATGCAGATTCAGCTCTTAAGGCATTCTTTTGGTCATGTTTCAGCCAAATACTTAAGAATACAGTATAACCTCATAAATTCGGATATCAAAAATCCACAATTATCAAAAATCTTGCACTTCCCTCCACCGCTCCAAGACCAACTGCCACTCCCCCCCGCCCTCCTGGACGCGGAGGAGGAAGCTTGCACACAGTGGCTGCCATCACCATTCACCACCCCATGCTGCCACTGTGTGTGTGGCCACTGCTTTGGGACTGGCTGCTGCTACCTGCCTCTCTCCCATGCTCTATGACAGGCTGCCATGCCGGTTTCTAAAATTCAGCATTTTCAAATTTCCAGCAGGTGCTCGGTCCCGAGCATGCCGGATTGATGAGGTTATAGTGTATCTACCCTTACTGCTTTGTGCCACAGAGAACAGAAAATGATTCGGATTAGATAAGCCAATTTAATGCAAAGTGTTTATCTTCTGTCCGTTATTTTAAAATGCTGGAATATTATATAAATCCTGTAGGGTCACAGAAGGAGGGAAACAGAGGAGGGCAGAGGAGGTACAAAGTAAATTAGAAGATAATTAGAGAGGAGAAAATAGAATATAGTAAGTGTGGAACGTACACAGGGTACCTAGAAGTAAGAACACCTAGGGAAGGGGAAAGTAAGAGGGGGAGGAATGAAGGGCACAAATACTGATGGGAGAGAAAATCCAGATACATTAATCTTATCTTTAGCTGCAAGTGCTACTTTGAAGATGCAGTGTTTAAGCATGCTCTGCCATGTTGTTCAGCTCACAGATAAAGGTATCTAACACATTTTTAACTTGATCAAGAGCATGGCAGAGCAACCGTTCTTTATTAACTGTGTGTCTGTGTTTTTGGGCTTAAAAAGGCAACTATTACTAGAGCTTTGTGAAGCTTTGGTCGCTGATTCAATTTGGCAGAAATTCAGCCCGATTTGGTGGCCAAATCTCTGAATCTGAATTGGATCAGGAGACCCTTTAATCTCTCTGAATCCAACTGGAACCCTCTGAATTGATTCAGAAAGATTTAATGATTCGGACATAGACACAGCTTTAAATGTTTTTTCTACATACCTCAAGGTACCAGGCAGCTCATGAATGTCGAGATGCTGGGGTGGATGGAGCGTCCCATGGGAGCATGGGGGGTGGTCCCCAGCACACTTGGCAGTGGACCTGGAAGTGGACCAGAAGCACTTCTGGGTCTGCCAAGGGACCCCCCCACCCCCAGTGACTGGTGCCTCTTGGGTCTGGGGGGGGCACCCGGGGTCCCCTTGCGGCCGATCACCGAGCCAAGGGTGGTGGTGCAAGGGAGGGTCCCCCACGCGCTTGGAAGTACTTCTGGTCCACTTCCAAGTTTGCTGTCAAGCCCACAGGGGGCCCCCCACGCTCCTGTGGGACGCTCCATCCAACCCGCCACTGCAGCATTCATGAGCCGCACCTGGTACCTCGAGGCATGTAGAAAAAACATTTAAAGCTGTGTCTATGGTCGAATCTGTGATTCTCCGAATCAGCATCAAATCTTCAGATTCTGATTTGGTCGAATCGAATTGCGACAGTGATCCGAATCAAATCACTGTCCCTGATTCGGGCCGAATCTGAATCAAATACAGGCTGTTTCACACACCCCTAACTATTACTATACAGGTTTCCATCGATTTATGCACTACATGCGTTCCCAGAGAATGACGTATAAATCAAATTCTCATAAAGCGAACCCACTTTACAATGTAACAAATAGGGATAGGTTTCCATGGTGGTGAGGGAGGGAGGGAGGGAGGGAGGCTGGGACTAGGGAGGGGGCAGGGAGAGGGGTGCCGATCCCGGGGCTGCACAAGGCAGCAAAGCAGAGGGAACAGAGCGGCACTCACCCCAGCCCTGGCTACAGTGGCCCCAGGAGCACAGGTGAGTGGACAAGTGGAGCCCAGGCACAGGGGCACACGTGGAGCATGGTGCAGCCCAGCGGCTGCAGGCAGCTGGCACCGGATGCTCTCGGGGCCACTGCAGCTGGGGCTGGGGTGAGTGGGGTTAGGGTTTCCCATTCTACCAAATACTTACCTGCTTGGGCGGGGGCGTCTATGCTGATTGAATAAGAGCGAATTTACCTTGCATAAAATGAATTATGGCTCTAAATATGCTCATCGCATAAGAGTGAATTCACATATAAAGCACCCTCATAAATCAAGGGAAACCTGTACTATATAAGGGTCAACATAAGTGAGTGACAAAATATCAGTAAATACAGAGCTAATGTATAAACACATATAAACTGGTATTATATTAATATACTGACATTCAACATTTCATGTTTCCATGACTGGGGTGTATAAACTTCTGAAGCCCTTAAAGTTCTTTAATCAAAAGCAAGAGATCTTGCAATATAAGGGGTCATTTTTTGCATTTATTTGATTAAATTAAGGCTAATTCTTTAACTTAAACCAATAAAAGGCACTCTAACCATAAAGAACACGAAACTAAAATGCACCACCACAGGATGTAGGGTTTGCCATATTGAGTAAGACCTGAAGTCCCTTTAGCCCAATAATCTGTCCTTTCCTGCCCAGCTGCTAATAGTAAATGCTACAGAAAAAGGTTTAAAAACCTCAAAGAAAACAGAATGGGGTAATATACCCCCATCCCCACATCAGGCCTACTATCCATCCATACAGAATATTTAATGTAAAGTTATGCAGTTAACAGAGAGGATTTAATCATATTCATATTTAACATTTAACATTTAAACAGAATAAAGGAGCATAAAAGTTACACAGCACTGAAAAGAAAATGAATACCTTCATTTCACACTGTTCATTTAACCCATCTATCGGAAAGGTAGACAAATCTGTTACAGTGTTCATTTAACCTGTCCATCTAGCAGACAGATAGACAAATACTGATATACATTATAAAAATCCATATTATATATGTACCTATGTATCTATTTTATATATCTATCTAGGATATATTTATATATTTATCTATAATGTTGTACAGAATTAGCTATAACACTTAAAGATTGTCTTATGTACTGAAGCATGAGGTTTATTATTCCTTCCCAAATTAGTAAAACCAATTACAATTCTGAATATTCTTGATACACTAAGTACTCACTTCATGTGGCAATTGTAGTTTGACTAACCTAAGTGAAAACCTATTAACTCTGAATTTCCCACCTTTTGATTTAATTGATTAGCCCCTTGTTCTTGTATTAAGAAAACAGAAACTTCTGTCCTCTCTAGATACCTTCTCCATGCTATTTGATAAACTATGTTACCGCATCCATTCTTTTTAATCTTTCTTCATACAAAAGTGTTTTAAAGCATTTGATCATTCTTGTCACCCTTTCCCAAAGCCCCTAGTTTCTCTAATATCCTAATAAAGGAGTTGCTTGCAGATGTTAAAAGCAAACAAACAAAAACACATGTTACTGGAAGATGCAGCACCTTACTTCAACCTGGCTCTACAGTGTTTGTATAGATCGGGCGCTACAGTGGGGCTTTTTGGCAGTTTTATCTGAAGCTGATTCAATTAGCTATTAGATAAAAGCACCAAAGAGGCTCCGCTAAAGCACCTGATCTATGTAGGCCAGGGCTAGGCAACATTTTTTGGTCGGATTGCTGAAAACCCCCACAATGCCTACCTTGGAAGATGCCAGAGTGCCGGCATGCCAGAAAAACAAAATGAGGGCACGGGGTACATGGCAGGATGCCCTGCGTGTGCCTCTTGCCTCCCAGCCCTGCTATGTCTCCCAGCCCGGGCTCTGTGACTGGTAGCAGCTACCCAGAGCCGGGGCTGGCTGCAGCCGGGAGACTGCAAACAGCCGTGCCGGGCTCTGGAGCCCCAGCATCAGCTCTGTACCGGCACGTGCACCTGCGCTTCAGAGCGGGTGGTGGGGGAGGGGGATGAGGCAGTGCAACCCCGGTCTCTCCCCCACTTCCGGCACAGAGCTGGTGACTGGGCTCTGGAGCCCAGCGCAGCTGTTTGCAGCTGCCCAGAGCCCAGGCTGGCTACAGCAAGCAGTGCGCAGGCTGCAAATAGCTGTGCCGGGCTCCACAGCTCTGGCATCAGTTCCATGCTGGCGGCGACTGCACAGGCACCTCAGGGAGGGCTGCGCTGCCCTGCTGTCTCCCCCGCTGTCTGCCCTGAGCTGCGTGCAGTTGCTGTCAACTTGGAGCTGATGCCGGAGCAGCTGTTTGCAGCCTGCCCCGCTGCCTGCTGCAGCTGCCCAGAGCCCGGGCTGGCTCCAAAAAGCTGTGCCGGGCTCCGGAGCCCAGTCACCAGCTCTGTGCCAGGAGTTGGGGAGAGACTGGGGTTGTGCTGCCTTAGGCCCCTCCCCTACCACCCACTCCAAGGCACGTGTGCATGCGCCGGTACAGAGCTGATGCCTTGGCTCTGGAGCCTGG